CCAAGTGTGTCCCCTGGGTTTTATCGCCGGTGTCACCAAATTGGTCCCCATGTCTGCAAAAGTCACTGTGTCCCCAGGGTTTGATTGCTGTGTCACCAAAAGCCACTGTGTCCCCAAAGCTACCTGAGTGTGTCACCAAAAGCCACCCCGGGAGTGGAGTTTGATCCCCGTGTCCACAAATGCCACCATGTCCCCTGGGTTTGATCGCTGTGTCCCCAAAAGCCACTGTGTCCCCAAATGCCACCTCGGAGCGGGTTTTGATCTTCATGTCCTCAAATGTCCCCGTGTCCCCAAAAGCTACCCGAGAGCGAGGTTTGATCCCTGTGTCACCAAAGTCACCATGTCCCCAAATGCCACCCCAGAAAAGGATTTGGCTGCCATGTCCCCAAAAGCCACTCGGGAATAGGATTTGATCCCTGTGTCCCCAAATGCCACCGTGTCCCCTGGGTTTGATCACCGTGACCCCAAATGTCACTGTGTCCCCAAATGCCATCTGAGTGTGTCACCAGAAGCCACCCCAGGAGCAGGGTTTGATTCCTGTGTCCTCAAAAGCCACCCAAGTCTGTACCCAAATGCCATCGTGTCCCCAAATGCCACCCTGCCCGTCCTCCCGGCCACCACCGTCTCGTCCGACGTCGTGGGCTGGCTCTCTGGGGACACAGGGACACGCAGGGTGGCACCAGTGGCACCAGGGGGACAGCGGTGGCACCAAAAGCCACCTGAGTGTGTCCCCTGGGTTTGATCATTGGTGTCACCAAATTGATCCCAGTGTCACCAAAGCCACCCAAGTGTGTCCTCTGGGTTTTATCACCGATGTCACCAAATGTCACCATGTCCCCAAAAGCCACCCAAGAGCAGGGTTTGATCCTCATGTCCTCAAATGCCACCACATCCCCAAACTGGTCACCGTGTCCCCAAAAACCACCCGAGACCGGGGTTTGATCGCCGGTGTCACCAAAGTCATCATGTCCCCAAATGCCACCCCAGAAAAGGATTTCATCCCCCTGTCCCCAAATGCCACCGTGTCCCTAAAGCCACTGTGTCCCCAAAGCCACCCTGAGAGTGGAGTTTTATCCCCATGTCCCCAAGAGCCACTGTGTCCCCAAATTGATCCCTGTGTCCCCAAAGCCACCGTGTCACCAAATACCACCCAAAAGCAGGGTTTAATCATCGGTGTCCCCAAAGTCACCATGTCCCCAAAAGCCACCCAAGGGTGTCCCTTGGCTTTGATCTCCATATCCTCAAATGCCACCGTGTCCCCAAAGCCACCCGAATGTGTCCCCTGGGTTTTATCACCGATGTCACCAAAAGCCACCTGGGACCATTAATTATCCCCCAATTAATGAAATTTTGATTTTTTGGTGCAGAATTTTGATTTTTTTTTTCAGGGTGATTTTGGGTTTTTCTGCCTTTTTCAGGGGTCTCGGTGCCACCAGCAGGGGAATGTCCACAATCTGTCACCTCTAAAATGATTTTTCCCATTTTTTGGTATTTTCAGTACGATTTTGGGGGGTTTTTTCCCTCTAAAATGATTTTACCCATTTTTTTTGCTTTTTAGGCTNCCCCACCCCCCTCTCATTTTTTCCCGATTTTACCTCTTTTCTCCCCAAAGTACAGCGTTTGCTGGGCGGGGTTGGACCATTGCAGCGAGGAATCGTCGGGATCCTCCACCTGGCACTTGAGCACCACCGTCCCCCCGGCCACCACCGTCTCGTCCGACGTCGTAGGCTGGCTCTCTGGGGACACGGGGACACGCGGGGTGGCACCAGTGGCACCAAATGCCACCCGAGTGTGTCCCCAAAAGCCACCCCGGGAGTGGAGTTTGATCCCCATGTCCCCAAGAGCCACCGTGTCCCCAAATGTCCTCGTGTCCCCTGGGTTTGATCACCATGTCCCCAAATGCCACCATGTCACCAAAGCCACTGTGTCCCCAAAAGCCACCTGGGAGTGGGGTTTGATCCCCGTGTCCTCAAATGCCACCGTGTCCCCAAATTGGTACCTGTGTCCCCAAAAACCACCGTGTCCTCGAATGCCATCGTGTCCCCAAAAGCCACCCGAGAGTGGGATTTAATCGCCGTGTCCCCAGGTTGGTCTCCATGACCCCAAAGCCACCGTGTCCCCAAATGCCACCCTGCCCGTCCCCCCGGCCACCACCGTCTCGTCTGACGTTGTGGGCTGGCTCTCTGGGGACAGGGGTGGCCCGAGTGTCACCAGGGGGACAGCGGTGGCACCAAATCGATCTCCGTGTCCCCAAATGCCACACGAGTGTGTCCCCAAATGACACCCTGGAGCAGGGTTTGATCCTCGTGTCCCCAGATTGATCCCCATGTCCCCAAAAGCCACCCCAGAGTGGGGTTTGATCGCCGGTGTCACCAAATTGATCCCCATGTCCTCAAATGCCACCGTGTCCCCTGGGTTTGATCCCCATGTCCCCAAATGTCACCGTATCTTCAAATGCCACCGTGTCCCCAAAGCCACCCGGGAGCAGGCTTTGATCCTGGTGCCCCCAAAAGCCACCCGAGTGTGTCCCCTGGGTTTCATTCCCGTGTCCCCAAATGTCACCGCACCCTGAGGGTCAGGGGACAGCACTGTCCCCACGGTGGCAGTGCCACCATCCCTGTCACCAACCCCTGTCCCACACCCTGGCACTGTCACCAATCCCGCCTCCTTTTTTCCCCCCAAATCCCCTTTTTTCCCCCTTTTTTCCCAAAAATCCCCATTTCTCCCCTTCTTTTTTCCCTAAAAAATCCTCTTCTCTTTTCCATCTTTTCCCAAAATCCCTTTTTTTTCCCGAAAATCCCCTTTTCCTTTCCTTTTCCCCAAAAATCCCTTTCTTTTCTCTCCTTTTTTCCCAAAAATCTCCTTTTTTCCCCCTTCTTTCCTAAAAATCCCCTTCTCATTTCCCTCTTTTTTTCCCCCAAATCCCCTTTTCTTTTCCCTTTTTCCCTAAAAATCCTCATTTTTCCCCTTCTTTTTTTCCGCAAAAATCCCTTTCTCATTTCCCTCTTTTTTTCCCAAAATCCCTTTTTTCCCCCAAATCCCCTTTTTCCCAAAATCCCCTTTTTTCCTTTTTTTTCCCAAATTTCTTTTTTTTCCCCCAAACCCTTCCCATCATCCCCCTCGGCTGTCCCGGGATGACCCCGGATTGTCCCCGGCGGT